AGTTCGATGCTAACATATGCTAACATTCTAATCTCAAAAAGAAGGTCGTGAATCTCCGTATGTAGTTCCTGCTTATGAGGAGGATAACTAAAACATGTGAATCAGAGCACATATGCAAGAATTCCACACCTTTCTCTCAAGCCTTGTGTAAAGCCAAAATCATGGGCCATGCTTCAGCTGCAAGTGTCGAAGGAACATTCGGTAGACTCTTGACATACTCTTCATGATGATCTGTGACCTCTCCATTGTCGCTGAACCACCATCCAAGACCGCAACTCGATGCATCACACTTCCAAGATGCATCGGTGTAGCATATGGTATCAGCAGTTTGGTTTATACCTTGGTGATTCAACGTGCTTCAGGTAATCTTCATCTCAGAATGGATTCTTGTGTCGCTTGCCATTCCTTGGTTTCTCAAATAACTTTATCTATAATATCCGTTGTCGAGAAAACCTTGTTCTCAAAGGTGATCTGATTTCTTGCAGTCCAAAGATTCTAATAAATCCAGGACTAATGATGCAGCACTAATTCTGACTGGTGGCAACGCCGGTGTCTTCCAAGTCTTTTTTTTTAAATCTACGGTCGTAACAGCCTGATTCTAAGCTATCGGTGATAAAGGCGATATAGACCAAACCTCTTGTGCCCATGTGCAATGCAAAAGAACATGTTTGACAGTTTTAAGTGATCCACAGCGGCCACATGCCGATGCTTCTCCTATGCTTTTTCTATGCAATTGAACTCCCACCGGAAGTGCATTTGTCGCAGCCTTCCATAGGAATGTCTTGATCTTTGGTTGAGTCTTGAGTTTTCAAGTGTTTCTGCCAATTAAAGTCCCTATCTTGAGTGGATGCTGCCTCCCTTGCCATGATTCTGTAACCATTACGGGTTGTGTAAGTCTCATTTCTAGTGTGACGTCATATCAAGGTATCTATGTGCAACAAATTAAACTTTATTCGATGGTTTTCTCTAAATTTTGTGATGATAATATTAAAGACCTAAATAATTATAAATATAAATAGGACATTTTGGTGAGCGATAAAATGATTTTTTTCTATTGATGTTTTCCCCCCATTTTGATGATTTTTAATTCTTTTTACTTGCTTATTCTAAAGCTATACGTACATAGTATCATGATTCAAATGCAAGATCAAACGACAAAATTTCAGATTTTCGTCAACTTATGACCATGTACGTAATAATTCATAAACTATATTTAATATGACCTAACTTTTTATTTTAGGAAGTTGACGGATCATAGGAAGACAAAGAATTATTCCTTGAAACTAAACTTTTATATAAATGTTTGATTAAAATTTTAGACTAAACCACTCTAATATAAAGCTTTTTTTGTTATGTGAAGAGATACAAAATATTTTTTTAAAGTAAATCTTGGTGATTGTTTTCTCTCGTTTGGTTCTTTTCAAACCATCTTTTTGCTAGGTGAGAATTTGTTTCTTGATAGAATCGACTAATTTTTTGTTTTTGTCATAGTGTCCGTCGTTTCATCCCAACGTTCTAATCCTAGTTCGATCTTGAAACGATTGCAATATCTTTGTCTTACATACATCTTGTATATATATTAGTTGTGAAGATATATTGTACAAGATAGTAGGTGTGTTTAAAAAGAGTTTTAAAGGACATACCTATT